TTCACAATTTTATGCGCGATTATGTGCCGAATGATGAGTACTTCAATGAAGAAGCGATAAATGGTGCCTTTGCTGATGCACACATAGCAGGGGAACAAGTGCAGATGGGTCAACCTATCGATATGTCGCAGCAGGGCATAGATAACTGGAATGAAGATCGGCGGGCAATGGCGGCGCACATGTATGTGAATGCTAATAACTAGACTCTAGTGCTTGGCCTAGGACCAAAAGTGTGTTAAATCAGCTTCCGATTTGTACTTAAATGTTTAATTCACATTCCTGGTGATTGAGGGATTACAAAATCATTTGGCTCCAGTTAATTGTGTTGTACCCATGTATCCAGGGATTTGCACCTTTGTATGAAATCTGCGGACTCATACTTTGCTCTACAACCTCAGTAAGTATTCAGTTTGCCGGTTTAGTTGACGTGAGTTTGTGAATGGTGCCGTACGCTTAACTCATGACCGAGTTAAGTTCTAGGCACATTTTTTACTTCGTTTAAATTTGGTAGAAAGTTTGCCAACTACTTTAGGAAATTGCGGGAGGGGACATAATTTAATGGCCATTATTTTGCAAAGATAGCGAACGTATTGGCTAATTACACATTTGGACCCTTAGATCCCCTGTTTTGGGGGTGTTACACATAAACTAGTTTTTGAAATACAATAAAAATTTGCACAAAAGGACTATAAAAGGTAATCCAAAAATTAGTTTTATTTTTTTAAAAAAATTTTCAATAATGTATCTCAAAATATTTTCTAAAAAACTTTTCTATTCTTAATTGTACATCAAAATATTTTCCAAGAGCCAATCCAAAATATGCTCTAAAAACTCTGTTACAGTACAGTTTTATTTTAAAAAAATCCCCCAAAAACAGCTAATCCAAACGAAGCTGTTTTTAAAAAACAGCTCAATCCAAACGCATGTGTTTTTCAAAAAATATGAGTTTTTCAAAAACAACAATCCAAACGACAATGCGTGTTTTTTAAAAACTGCTACAGTATTGTTTTTCAAAAACACCCCCAAAAACAGGGAATCCAAACGCACCCTACAAATTTGGAGATCGGTGGGGCCACTCCAAAGCGGAAGAAAGTAATTTGTAATAGGATCTCTTTTATTTAGAAAGTTTGGTATTCGGATACCAATTTTTGAGGAGAAACACTAAGACTAGGATGCGTTTCTTTCTTTGGTGGGCCTGGCAGAAAAAGAGAAATGATTTCCTTCACCCTTTTTGGTGACTACTAACGTGGAGGGGATTGTACTTTTTTTTAATTTTGACTTTTCTTACTTTTTGAGAACTTGAAGAGAGCCACAATTATTGACTGGTTGAATTTGCTGTTTTCTTTGGTTTTGACCGAATTGAAGAAAAGCATCAGACTCTCTTGCATGCTTTTGTGGGAAACAATAGAAAACAACAATTTTTCTTGTTCTTCTTTCTCTGATTGGCCGAATTTGAGAAGACAAGAGTTGACGGTTTTTCCTCAATTGCTTTACATGGCGTGTTCTCCGTTAATGGGGAACTAATTTCTTAATTCTAGTCAAGGGAATAACTGAAAATTTGGTTCGATAATTACTGTGAGATCTACATTATTTTAACTGTTTCCTCCATTTAGTGATATTTATATGTTTTCTGCTTTTAATTGTTATAACTTTTGTATATGATTGAATAGTGCACAATATTTAATTATTCACGTAGGTTATTTTGCTAATTGGGGGTAGTCGAATTCGTAATTGTTCGATTATCTCCGTCCCGTAGTAACTGGCATAATTGGGTTTATGTCAGAAAAACATACAATCTAACTTTTAAACAAACCCTTGTAGCATATTTGTTAGTTAGGATTGGATTTTTCTAAATTGTAATGCAATCTAGAAATTACATCCTACGATCGTACCTAGAATTGTTTCCGGGTTAGAGAAATAATTAATGGTCGTACCTTAACTATCGAGAAATTAAGAAAAGATTGGTTATTTATCGTGTGAATGACAACTATAACCAATCTATTAATAAATGTTGGAATGATATTTGAATCAATGATCAGTTGCACGAACCATCTCTGAAGTGTACACTTGGTTAGAGTTTCTCCAATTATTTCTATCAATTAATTATTTTTTGCATTTGATTTATTTAGTTAGCAATTATTCACTAGCATTTAATCCTAAAACCCTCCATTTGTTTTGACTCGAAAGGAAACAAACTTCTCCCCAGTCCCTGAGAAGACGACTCTACTTGTCACTGTCTACTAGTTATTAAATTTTGTCAGTTAATTAATTCTGGTATATCGGATTAAGCAGACTCTTCGGAAATAGGGTGAATCAAGTAATCCATTGCATACCTAGAGTCCCTGCTCCAGTACCTAAAATTGATTATTGATTGCCTTTGGTGGTAGTTAAGTTATTATTATTATTGCACAGGCTTGACACCTGTCAATCATACTAATAGATGTGCAGTAGAATCTAGCACAATAATAAAAAAGAACATAATTAAACCTAAGAAACCAAGAAAGCCAAAAAATTGTATAATATTAAATACATTGAGAATTTAAAATGGAAAAGATGTATACCTTATCTATATGTCAGTACCAAATCCATCTCTCACAAATTTTGGATGGATGTAGTTAGTATCACAATCTTTCCAATTTTAGAAACCATGAAAGAAAATATAGTGTCCCAAGACATCAAATTGCAAATTGGGATTTGAAACAAACAAAACCAAACAAAACCCTAAGATTGGATGCAAGAAAACACAAGTCGACACCTTCAATCCTATAAACAGCCTGACACCAGTAGCAAAATCACTCAGGGAACTAGAAATATCCGCATATTGATCTATCATCAACAAGTGTGGTACTACTTAAAAAATGGTGACTAAAAAATCACTAATTTAAATATTAACACCTCACAAGAATTAAGAAACCCAGGGATACCAAAAGAAACTTCAATTGACTGTTTATATCCTATATTCTAAGGTTGTATGATGCTACATATTGATCTATATCCCAGGACTAAACTCTTCTATCACATACTTTCACATCCTGTACATTCAGAGATTTTTCATTTTCCAAAGTCATGATAACATTGAAACAGGTTCAGTGATCCCAGAAAACACCAACTAGGAAAAAAAAAATTAAAAATCTTGAGCAAACTTCAAGGAACACCAACTAAATCTGCTCCATAATTGAGCTCACAAAGTTAAAACTCAATTACCACAGCACATTCCTTACTAACGAACGAGTATGGAGTTGACACATAATCACAAAGCATGACAATTGCAAGAACAGTTACATGAATAAACTTACAGTCTTATTAAGTAGAGATAATAGAGAATCTTGAGAATGAAGAACTTGTCACAGAGCAGCACACATAGCAAAGGTTGTAGATATTCCAACGAAAAAACAAAAACGTGTAATTTTACGAAAAAGAAGACATCATTCAACAAAGCTGACTGAAGGAGAACCCTCAAGATAAAAACAAGATCACAGCAATAAAACCAGTGAATGCTGACCAGAAAAAGAAAAGCAAACATAGTTCATAGGAGAAAAACTTGAGACAAACTAAGAGAAACTAAAATGCTCCAAGCTTAATTCTTCTTTCTCTAAGCTATAAAATGTTACTCCATACCAGATAATGATTTGCATAAAAAGTTATTAATCTGCAGCTAGTCACAATTTACAATCTTAAAATCCTATACCAAAAGGAAAGGTCAATTTGAACCATCATCTCTGGCACACTTCTAGGCATATATTACCTGAATTTACATTTACATTTATATATACACCACTTCTTTAAACTAATGTTATAGACTAAACCACTCATTAAAAGATCAGAACAAGAATAAGCTTGCAGTTATAGCAAAAGATAAAGTTTAGTAGTTCAGGAGTAAATATGAACAACTGCATCCTATATATGGGTTTGGTCTCCAATCTATCATTGCAAATTAACAGTAAATCTAATAGTTTCCATGCAGAAAATTCCACATCATGTTTGTGTAGTAACTTGGTGATGATGTGGTACCAAAACAAAAAGGATATTCCAAGTAATCTGAGCTAAGGGTAGAGCCTCTTAGTGGCTTGTTATCAAAGAGAAAACAGATAGGCGATCCATGTTCTCCTGCAGAAAAGATATCAACTGCAGCCTAAACTAAAAGGCCACTTAGTTCTCTTGAATAAAGCATCTAATTATACAGGCAGCAGCCTAGCTGTAACAGATACGGAGAAAAATTTAATCAACGAGACTTGTGATTGGAGAGTATTTTGATGGTACAAATGAGGTGGCTTGTTATCAAAGAGAAGCACATATGATGTCCATATTATTCTACAGCACAAATATTGGATTCAAGAAGCAACTACAGGCTAAACTGAAAAGGCCACTTGTTTCTCTAACATTCACACTAGCTGGTACATTATGTTGAGAAAGACTTAATCAGCAAGATTTTTGATTGCAACATATCCTGATGGCACAAACCAAATACAATTAGTTCATAGATAACCAATTTGTGTACAAGGATATGTTTGAAACTAACTATACATGATCATGTTTAATTGTGAACAAAAAAAATGAAACAATGTCAAAGAAAACACAAGGAATCAATTTTCTTCCTATATGTTTCCTATTATATACATCAAACAACATATGATTCTGCATCACAAAGATTCAGGCAACTTCAATCTGACAACAACAAGAAGTGGTGAAAACAGGGAATAACAAATCCCAATAGCTTCTTGGCTTCAGGCAATTTTGCAAGATGTAGCTTATTTTAACTAATCTAATAAAAGAAAATGATCTTTAAATCCAAAAGAGATAGTAAAAAAAATGCAAAGAAGAATTTAATCATGAATCAATGCTCCTCTAAGCTTATAATCCTAAATCATGATTCTGCAACATGATAATTCAAAATTCATTTACTAAAATCTCAAAACCAAATAATAACATTGCCACTACAAAATAACATACTTTATTTGACAACCTTTTTATTGACGAGCCAAACTCACCACAGCAAATCTAACTTTTATGACGAACAGGTCAGCTGTCATCACAATAAGGATTGGTTTACCCGGAATATATCAGCTACCCTCCACCCCTCATCACCAAAGCTTTAGCAAACTTAAGCTTGCAAATACAGTTGTTTCTCTAATCTTTTTAAGATCTAAAATTCCTCCATCCAATTTGCTTCCTTGAACCTTACTACTTACAGATCTATCTATTCTCATGAAGGATTTCAAAACTCAAATAATCTCTCAGAAGCCCTTCCAACTGCAATTATTCTTTCCGATCTGTCAATCTGGCACCATCTACGCCAATGAATGGAGTCTCCTACTCCGGTGCCTTCCCTCCAACCATTTCTCTCTTGCGAGGTCCTCCCCAAATCCTTGTCTGTTTAATCCCTAACTCGTATCAAGATTTCCCTACTAAAGTCTCCTTACTAGTGAAGCCATTCTAGCTTCCTCGTTCAATTGAGTTTTCAATTGGAGCTCCATTTCGCACCTCTCTCTCATCCCCTCCCATTTCATCCATTTATTTCAGTGAATTCTAATGTTAATTTTTGTATTGAATTTAGAGATTGCCTAAATTTTTTTCTATTTAATAAAGAATTTTCTTGATTTCATTTGAAAAAAAATTCTGTTTTATTTTTCATGTAGCTTTTTTTTTAATCATGTTGTCTTTGTTTTTTGTTCTTTTGTTCTGATTTAGTTTCAGAAATGTTCTTATAGATCAGCTATGGTGGCAATTTCTCACTACTGGATGGAGTACTTTTGTGAACAAAATAAATCTTGTTTCCCTGTTATGGAGTTCATTTTTTGAGGTATATATGCATTTCCTTCATCAGAATTTGAAATTGAAGTGTAATGACAAAATAGTTGACAATTGAATTCATAAAATACTTAGAATGAATGAATTATATCTAAGATAAATGAAAAAATAAGGAAATGAATGGATTTTGACCTGATTTTAGAAGCATGCCAAAAGAAGATGATTGTAATTGTGGGATAAAGCACTGCTAAATTCTCTTTAGTAAGAATTCTGTTTTGAATGGAAAGCAAGCACTTAGTAAATTTCGTCAAACCAGAAAAATATTCTACCAATCATTGTGAAAAGGTCAACATTTAAAGCAATGGCGTACAGGTTATACATATTGCTTTGTCAATTATTGTCAATTACAGGTTATACATTTGCACCACTTCTTTTTTTGTTATACATAGTGCCTCTAAGGGATGGTCTAATTGTTTACTTTATGGCTTTATGTTATAGCATTTGCAGCTTTCATGCTCCTACTTTAATGATTACTGGAAAGTGCTAAGAGTCATGAATATGTGGTGGAAACTAACCTTTCTATATGTTTTACTTGTTAAGAAAAAGAAATAAAAAAGAAATCTCCTATCACATTTATTTCAACAATTGATAGGATACCAGCAAGCATAGTTATTGACTGATATTGGTTTTGGATGAATTATTACCATAGGTCTTCATTACACTTTTCAAGTATAGTATAGGCTATCATAAGTGATGCCATTGGAGGCTTGGTTAGATCACAAAATTAACCTCCAAAACATGCCTTTGTTGCTTTATTTGTGGGTACGGTTTAATTTTTCTCCAAAAGAGGATTTATTTTGCTCTGTTTCCAGTAATTTTGGAAGTTTTTCTACTGGTTTGATCAATAGCCTTTATTGTTTTCTAAGCTCATGCATTTTAGTATTGAATGTTGGGTCTTAGGAATGGAGTCTACTTCTACTGTACAAATTCATGCTGAATTAAGAGGTTCAGATGGTTTTTAGGTTGATGAACTATTACAGATAGTATGTATCATCAGTATTTAATGTATTTGAGGACTTTGTCATACAACAAACGCCAAATTCATGTTGCACCCCACCTTAATGGAGAAAAGTAACCATTTACCATGCCTGTTAAAAAAACTTGCATCTTGAAAACAAACAACAAAAAGTTGATGATATGTCGAATCCAATATTAGGCTGCCCTAATTTTATTCATGTCTAAGAATTATGATGCCATGTTTCTTAGTTAACTATTAGCTATCAGGTCCTAATTAATCCTAATTAATACTAACTACATTAGATCATATATGGGTTATTTACAGTTATTTTTAAATTATTAGATCATGTGTCCAAGAATATCTTCCATGTTATTTGTATCAATTTTTTTGGTTAGAAACACCTGGTTCTAACTGTATGTTCCTGTAATGTACTCCAAATGGTGGTTGATATGCAAAGTCATCTACGGGATTCAGTTAAAGTGTTTAATCAGCCAGCAAACATGGTTGTAGTTTAGTAAATCTAATGTCAGGACAATGAAATTCTGCAACTTGAACGTTGGCCTTGCTGATTTATTACCTAGATTTCTTGGTCTTTGACTCAATCCCAGAAGCTGTCTTTATGGATAGTTTTTCTTCACGTTGTGACTCAGAGGATGTAAAAATTCCAGGTTATTCCTATAGCAAAAGCTTGTCTTGCTTTCCTGTCTACAGCCAGAGACCAGGTTATTCCTAACAAGATTCATTTGTAGACAAATGGAGTTTAAATTTAATTATCAGAGTTTGAACATACTTGCTTATGATGTAAGAAACATATGCTTACTATATTTTGGACTTCTTTCCTCCTGGAAGATTATTGTGCTATAATTTTTGGTCATTTATTCCATCTAAGCTGTCCAAGTGATTTTTCCCCCCATTGCGGGTTTAAGTCTTGTAAGGATTTCAATCCTCAGAGGAACTCAATTAGGAGTATAGTGTAGTTGTGTGGTTGGTAATAGTATGTGTGTGCATTCTAATTGTTTCATTTCCTTGTAGTAAAAGAAGTTGATTATTCAAATGTAAGAGAGAAAACCTAGACATTTGCTAAACCTTGATGATTCAAAGCATTTATATATTACTTTAGTGTTCTAGATCGTGTAAGTTATTTTTGAGGACCTAAGATTCAATTGGAGTTTATATGCTAGTTAAAAATTAATTTATTTTGCTGTTAGGCATTGATATGATAATATCAATTGGCATTGATGATAATATCAGCTTGCATTCATTATGCAATCGGGTATCTTTGCTTTTGGGATTTCTTGAATAGTTGGCAGTTGTTTCTCCAAATCCAAATTGTATGCAACTGGTTTTCTAGGAATAAAGGGTGCATCTGTACTATTTTCTTGTGTCCGTGAAACTTTTAGAAACTTTGCTGCTGGGTATATATGCATCTAGAGAAATTAATACCCTTGGCTGCTGAAAGTTTCATATTCTGTGTTCATGTACTTCTTTTTGAACCTAAATTTTCCTTCGTGTTTATGTGTTTGTTGGCAGAAAACTCTCAGAAGTTTGTCAGCAAAGTATTGTGATCATTCGATACAAGTACATGTGAGCTTATAAATATTTTTAGACTATCAAAGTTTGTGTTTTGCATGCAACTTGATATATGAGTTTAAGTTTCTAAGCTACCAAATTTGCAGCTTAAGTTTCTTTCTTTGTTAATTTTGAAGCTGTTAATAGTTTCTCCAGGAGTACATATGCCAGTTTTAATATTTTAAAATCTTTGGCCATCAGTTCCGTGTTTTCGTCACCTCATTCATTCTTTCTAATTCAATGATACTTTTCATGTCATTACAGGTTATATATTGGTGAAGACTTTGGTAGTATTGCAAATCTCAAACAGAAAAGCAAATGCTCTTCAATTAATGATATAGTAATGGAACCATCTAAGGGATGTTAAACAAGGTGTCACTCCATAAACTATCTATGATTCTGCATCTATTCTGTTCTATACTTGGTACCTAAAGTCAGTAAACTTTTCAACAATAACTTCTTCTTCTACATGACAGACCAAAACTGTCCTAAGACATTGCACAAGTACATACTTGAAAAACTACTGATAGAAGAGTTGTATCTAAAAGCATCCCAATTTAATCACCAATAAAATCCAACCAGAGCTTTTCACATGAAAAACAAACAGCTCTGCATTTTTAGAACCACTGTTAATTCTAGAATTGTGAAAACAAAATGACTATTGCCCAAGAGACATAAACAAGATGACAAAAATAACAAGTATCCCCATGAAAAAAACTCAAAGCAAGAAGCACTCTCAAATTGAGACCTAAACAAACGCAAGCAATTTGAAAGAATCGACAGAACTGCAACAGTGTATACATTTTCAAAATCACAGTCAGTTAGTCATCGGATGTTAGATTGCTAATCACTTGAGACAAATAAACCAGCCAGCCAATTAATGGGCCCCAGAAAGCACAATTGTCAACACCTTTAACTATGTACACTGATAGCCATTAGTTACCGAAAATAAAAAGCACAAGTCTTCACAAAAACTACAAACAGGTACAAAAAAGGCGTATAATTAGACATTTAATAAAAACAGAGTTTAACTTAATAAAGTAGATGGATGTAATAGAAGTTAGACAAGGAATCCATCTTCCTCGAAGCTTATACATTAACCAATAATTCACGAGTATGCAGCAAAGCTACTCGGCATTCATCTATTAACTAAAATCAGGATACTAAATCCAACAATGGCTCATGTTTATAGATGACTGAAATACTGCTCCGGACATTATTACGTGGCACAATTAAACTAACATGAGAGTATAAGTCAACTTATGCAGAAAACTAAATTCCAATTTGTCAAATTACAAACGGAACAGATTTGCACTTTTTACCAACCACAACTACCATCTAGGACTCTGAAACAATATGAATGAATAGCCAAGAACCATCAGACTTAAACAAGAACTATGAAAAGAAAACAGACATAAAGCAATAGAAAAAGACATGATGCAAGAAAAACGTTGATGCAAAGCAGAGACGATTCCAATCTATGACCACAACAAGCAAGCAATCCAAAACATTCTTGACAGTCATTGATCAATAATCAACATGGTTAAGAGATCACAATCAAGTAAAAAGACAGTACCCCTGCAAAGTTACAAGTCTTCCCAGATGATTAAATAGCAGAAGTTTAAAAGATAAAGTCACTCTCCAACGATGACCACAAAAGAAAAGCAGCCTGAAATTCTTCACTTGATCTATTGCACCAATGTAAAAAGCACAACCATCACAAATTCACAATCTACTAAAGTCATTAAATAGCATATAGTCACTCTCAAACTATGACCACAAACAGCAAGCAACTTAAAGTATTCATTTTACTAATAAATCATGCAAAAGTGAGGTATCACTACAACAGTAGCTACTAAAAAGTGTCAAAATCTAAAACTAACTCTTTCAATGTAACCAAAACTGACAAACCATAAAAATTAAAAAATTAAAAACAAAACAAAAGATTTTGCACATAACTTCCCCTTCTATATGATCTGGTTTCAAAATTATCAAACAAATCAAGCAATCAGAGGCACATTAAAAATCTCGGATTTGAAGCTACTGCAAACCATAAAAATCCTAAAACCCTGATCCACCAAGTAAAGTAACATATCCTAGGAAACCTAATCAAGATTTAAGCCAAAAAACCTAATCTGCCGAGCAAAGTTACAGATCCTGGAACACCATAATCAAGATTTAACCCTGAATCACTTTCTGTGCTGTAGTAATTTTAAACCCAAATTTTCATAAATTCAAATTTACTGTAAAAAATATTCTATGTCAATAAACTAAATTCCCATCTCCCAAAATTCTGAAGTCCATAAATCTGTAACAAAACAAATCAAAAAAGTTACCCGTTTCAACTCTAGAAAAAAGCAAGAAAAAAGACCATTTAGTCAGAAAAGATTAGCAATACTGAGAAAATAAATTGATAAAATTCAAACACCATTTAGAAAAGAAAAATATAAGAATTAAAGATATCAGTAGATATCATTCACCTGAATGTTCAACTAACATTTTAACAAGTCAAAGTCCATGAATTTATGCCTTCCTTTTGCTACACTTTTAAGAGGCTGAAACGCACAGCTGATCCCCCATCTGAATACAGTAAAAACCCCCAAAATCTGTATCAAACATTCAAGAACACGGCCTTGTATCAAATATTTCTGATGAAATATTTATTAAAAAGAATGAAGTGCATTTCAAAAAGAAAAACAAAAAATTAGTGAAACAAATAGCTTTAGTTTACCTGAATCTTCAATTGGCATATGTACAAATCCAAAAGCCCTGAATTTGCGTCTTTCTTTGTCCGCCATTTTCCACACAGAAACACACACCCAATCCCTATCTCTTCTGGAAACAAATGCTACATGCAGGGGCCCCGTCCTGGGCCTAGACACGTGGCAGCCCAGGAAGGGCAGAGCTGGGCCTGGCCTGCAGGCCCCTGACAACTGTCCTGAGGCTCACCGCCTCTAGGGCTCTGAGAGACTCCGGAAAACAATCCCGCAGAGGGCGGGGAGAATCCCTCTCAGCACGGGATTGAGGTGATCCCGGGCAGGTCCCGAAACGTACGGAGGTCGGACTCACAAGCAGGTATAAATGGTACTACACACCAACTGTACAAGGTACGCTCGCTATCAGCACACTACTCCCCACGGCTTTGCTTCCTGTAAACTCCCCCCACCGGAGAACTAACTTGACCGTCGGAGTGCCCTCGAGGACAACCTCGGGGCTCCCCTGTTAGATCACCCTCTTGTTTGTTTTGCAGGCTTGGGACACGCCTCTCTCATCAGCACACCGAGCTCATCAGGTCAGCTCAGTCCGGGGAAGCTCAGCGCTTCTTCAGTTGGCGCCGTGTGTGGGAACCGAAGGGTAATCGAAGTTGCGTTGATGGCGAGAACGCGTTCCAAGCGGACCGTGGGGAGCACCGGCCCTGGAGCCGGTGAGGGATCCCGGCGAATGGAGGCCGGAGCGGACCCGGGCGCCGGGGGCTCAGCCCTTTCAGGGGAACGGAGACAGCAGATCCTCCAGTTCGTGTCGGAGAACCTCCCCATGCTTGAAGACATAATCCCGCAGGCGAAGGAGAAGGGCGAAGCCGGTGGCGCACAGACCTTCAAGGTGAATGGGAAGGAAAAGGAACCACTTCCCGACCCCTCGGAGGATGAGTCACGAGACCAGCCTCCCAGAAGGAAACGGCCACGGACTCCCCCTCGCCCCCGAGCCTCGGTGGTCGGGGACAGCGAAAGGTACTCCCATGACAGGTCTGCGGGGAGTAGGCCGAGAGACCCCTCCCCGCGGAAACCTGTGCGGAACGAGCCTGATCGATCTTCCGACCGATCTGTTAAGAGCGGCCGCGAAACCTTCCCCAGTGGAAGCCTGTTCGAGACGAACTCGAGCAGATCTTGCGGCCACAGTTGTATGAGGACAATTACACAATCTCGCCCTTTACCCGAGAGATAGAGGACTACCCACTACCCCGGAGGTTCAAGATCCCGAACATTGAGTTGTATGACGCCACAACCGATCCAGAGGACCACCTTTCGGTCTTCCTGAAGCACATGCGTCTGCAAACAGCCGCGGATGAAATCCGCTGCAAGACCTTCCCCATGTTTCTGAAGGGGAAGGCTCGGCTCTGGTTCCAGGGTCTGGCACTGGGGTCCATCCGAAGTTTCCCCGAGCGGGCCAGACAGTTCGTCGCTCAGTTCGTCTCTTCCAAAACTTATTTGAAGAACGCGACTCACCTGATGGCAATCAGGCAGAGGCCCGACGAGTCACTAAGGAATTTCATGACCCGATTCAACACAGAGAGCTTGCAGATCAGGGACAAAAACGAAAAGGTAGTCATGGCCGCCTTCATGAATGGGTTCAGGGTAGATGAGCTCTTCTACAAGTTGGCCAAGAAGCTTCCTAGAAATCTGGAAGAACTCTTGACCAGGGCGCACGCGGCCGCCAACGCAGAGGAGGCGACTCGCCTGAAGAGAGAATCAGATCGGGATCTCAGAGATCGGAGAGGATGGGGAAACCCCCCCGAGAACAAGGATGGCTCGGCCAAAAAGAACGTCTTCGACCGGCTCTCGAGGGAGAAAGCCCCTGCTCCGCCACCGCTTCCGGAAAAAGGCTACACCCCATTGACTCGGCCCAGGGCCCAGATCCTAGCTGTTATGCAGGCGGAGGGCCTGGGAGATCGGCCGCCAAAGATGGGGACACCTCGGAACAAAAGGAATCAGGACCGGTACTGCGCCTTTCACCGTGACGTCGGACACGACACGAGGGGTGCTGGACCCTGCGGAGGGAGATCAAAGATCTGATCCAGCGCGGTTTCATGGGACGATTCGTACTGCAAGGTCGTCCAGGCCAGGAGACAGGACGCACCTACCGTTGAGACAGGAGCGAGGGCCAGCGTCGCGACCGCCCTGAGCGGTGCGACCTCCCTCTGGGAAGCTCCCCCGACCGGTACATCCAGAATCTAGCGGGGGTCATAAATACCATCGCGGGGGCCCCACAGGGGGATAGCCAGGTAGCTCGGAAAAACAGGCGACCTCCCCCCGAGGGAGATGATTCCCTGAAGCGCCTACGCATGGATGAGGAGATCACTTTCGGACCAAAGGACGCGGTTCCCCTAGCGTCTGGGAACCACGAGGCCATCGTGATAGATGTTGTAACCAACAATTATCGAGTGAAGAAGGTGTACGTCGACCAAGGGAGTGCGGTTGACATTATATTCTATCGGGTGTTCAGGGAGCTCGGCTTGGAGGACGAACAGCTGACCCCGGTCCGGACACCCTTGGTGCGCTTCACCGGACCGTCCATTCACTCGGAGGGGATGATCACCCTGATGGTCACGGTAGGGAAGACCCCAAAGTGCCGGACCATCCCTGTCAAATTCGTGGTGGTCAAACAACAGTCCCCGTACAACGTGTTCTTAGGTCGGCTCGCCTTGAATGCCCTTCGGGCTATTCCCTCTTCGCTCCACCTCAGCGTCAAATTCCCCATCCCGGGAGGGATAGCCGAAGTGCATAGAGATC